TATAGTTTTCTGAGTACAGATCCTTTGCCTCTTTGGTTAGATTTATTCCTAGGTGTCTTAAGGTTGTGGATGCAATTGTAAATGGGATCAACTCCTTAATTTCCCTTTCTTCTGTCCTGTTGTTGGTGTATAGAAATGCCACTGATTTGCATTGATTTTATATCCTGCCACTTTACTCATTTTATAAATTTATGTGACAATCACAAAAACACAGGATATTTTGGGACCTAGATAGACTGATCTAGAGTTGATAATGGAAAAATATAGAAGCACAAATAGCCAGAAAATTCAGCAAAAGGGGAGCAATGATGTGGAATTAGCTCCACCAGAGATTAAAACTTATTAGACCTCAATTATTAAGACAGTTTGGTTCTGGGCATGGAGGGAAAAATCAATGGAAAAAATATAGAGTACATATGTGAATTGCAGTGCATATATCAATGGGGAAAAATAGATTTTTCAATAAATAATGATGAGCCAACAGGGTAGCCATCTGGAAAAAAATGGATCCATACCTCTAGCTCATACCAGAAGAAACTTCAAATGGATTGTGGATGTAAATATAAAAACATAAACCGTAAAAGTAATAGAAGACATCATGGGAGAATTCTATATAACTTCAACATGAAAAAGCTTTCCCAACTATGATAAAAACCAGGAACCATAAGAAAAGGAGTAATAAATTTTACTTACTACATAAAAGAAAACTTTCTACGTGGTCAAAATTGCTTATAAGAAACATCAAACTAGAAAAAAACATAATTTAATTAACATACAAAGAGTTCTGCAGATTGACACAAAAATGCCAACAGCTCAATATAAAAATGGATGGAGTGTATGGACATTTGTTTTATACAATGAAAATGAGAGTTCTTCCCTAGGTAATGTAATGTTAAGCAGCTGCTCTCCCCATTATTTGTCTCAGTAGCTTGCTTATTTCCATCTTTGTACTTATTCTAACCTATTGCCATTTTTTCTGTTTGCTTGTTTATTTTATTCTCCTTTTTCTCTCTAAGATTGTGAATTCCATGGGGAAAGGAATCATGTCTGTCTCCTCCACAGTTGGTTCCCTTGTGCCAAGCACAGTGCTGTCAGATATTAGGTGCTTAATAATCCGTTCTGTTCGATTTCAGTCTATTTGTTCTTCAGAAAATTGCCTTCTACACATTCTTCCTTATGACCTGTACCAAACATATTCAGCTGTTTTTTTTTTTTTATCTTAAACTCAGTAGATGGGTTGAAATTTATAGAATTCGAAAGAAGTTACATAAATTCACCTTGTACAGCTACATATTAGGCTTTCAATGGTTAGCTTCAAGCACAGGGCATGGTTACCTAGTAGGGACTTAAAAATTATTTGTTGAATTAAAAAATGTTAGAGGAATAGTATTTCCCAGAAGAGATCTTAAATTTTTGTCAGGTTATTCTTTGGCAGAGTGTATGTTTCATTGATGACTTCTTTAGAGTATTAATTCAACTTCAGTTGCTTTGAATGTTCTTCAATTAATTCATCGCTTTGACATTATTGATTTCATTATCATGATGAGATTCATATGCATCATTAGAGATAATGTATGTATGACTTCAGAGTTTTATCAATATTCACTATATCCCTAGTGGTTTTTTTTAGGACTAAGTGCCATAATTGTTTTATTTTAAGAGATTTTGTAATATTTAGTATTTTCTTTTTTTTACATATTTTTCAGATACTCCATACTAATATTTTCCAATTTGTCTAGACATCACACTTCCTTTTCATTTGCTTTTATTACTTAATTACTTAAATGATAATTGCTTAAATATTCACCCCTTCTAAAATTGGTCATTTCTACGATATCTGTGTGTTTCTGTTTGGACATTTATTATAAACACAAGTATACATACAAATGTTTATATTTTTTCTCTCTTGCACATTAAACTACAGATTCTTGAAGATAGACTGTAATTCCTCTATATTTGCTATAGCACCTATTTTAAGGTAATGATTTGTATATACTGTTCAAAATCATTGTCTGTGTATTTCTGTAATATCACCATTATCAAACAGTGAGGGTCACTGTTCAAGGGATGGAGATTCAAAATGTCACAGTTACTGTCATCAGAGCAGTTATAATCTAGCTTGGGAGACAATATGCATTATTGTCTATAGATATATACATTAATTAAATTAATGTAGCTATCTACTGCTGCCCAGAAATTTATTCCAAAACTTAGTGTTGTAACAGAACCAACATTTTTTATATCACACTTTGTTGAGTTGGAATCCCAGCACGCCTTAGCTAGGTCCTCTGACTCAGGGTCTCTTGCAAGTCTGCCATTAAGGTACCGGTTTGCTTGTAGTCATTGTATGGCTTGACTGGAGAAGGGTCCACTTAGTTACTGACATGGTTTTTGGATTGAGTTCCTCCTGAGCTGTTGGACAGAGAAGGCCTTCAGGTCCTTCATGGCTGTTGGCCAGAGGCTGCCCTCAGTTCCTTGCCATGTGAGCCTCCCTCTGGGAAAATAGGGTAGTGCACATGGGTAATTTCCATCAAAGAGCAAGAGAGGGCATGCAAGACAGAAGCCATAGTCTCGTTGTAACCTAATTTTGATAGTGATAGCCCATCACTTTTGCACTATTCTCTTCATTAGAAGAAAGTCATTAGGTTTAGCCCATACTCAAAGAGAGGGGATTGATTACACAAGGGTGTGAATATCAGCTGGTGGGGATCATTGTAGGCCATTTTAGAAAATGCCTACCACATCTGGTAAGTAAGCAGTTAAGACATGTCATTAAAAGAATTCAGAGGAATGATCTCTAAGGGTTCAGACATTCAAGAAGGTGTTCCTAAAAAAGTTGAGACCTGAGTTAAATCTTGAAGAAAAGTTTGACAAGGGGGAAACAGAGTTTTATATAGAAAAAACATAAACTAAGGTATAGAGGTGGAAATTTTTCTAGATTACTTTGGGAACAGAGAATAGGTAGTATAACTTGACAGTAGTATTTTTATGTAAAACATTAGTGATCCTAAATCAGAAAACTATTTTCTCTTTTTGGTAAATGCTGCTTTTATCTCAACTTTGTTTGGGGGTATTAATGGTTTTAAGTATCAGAGAAGTAGAAATTAAAGATCAAGCATATTTCTGAAACACTTTTTATCATGAAATTTTAAATTCTGAAATGTATTTATTGACAGATATGGTAAATGATGTTCTACTGTCTCCAAAGGCAAGAAAGTAGAGGTTTAGTCACCTAAAAACTCATTTAAACACAATAAAAGTTTGACTTTTTCATCTTATGAGAAGGAAAAACAAAATTTTGTAGGAGGCATGGCTTCTAATAAGAATGTACTTTACTAAAAATAAAATCTTAAAAAGAATGTACTTTACTTACTAATCTTTTTTTGAGATGGAAATGCAAATTCATTAAATCAGCTTAAAGTGATAGGCACAAGAAAAGTATCATTTTTTTTTTTTTTCCTAAACTCCCAGATTGAAGTTGCTCTTTGTATTATAGTAGATGTTTACTTAACCCGTCATGGTACCTAGCATAATGTCTTTGATGTTGTCACAGAAGTTACAGGTAGTAGTGGCAGTAGCCACAGCAGAGTTAGCCTGTTTAGTCCATTCCAGGCATCGCACCATGCATGCTGTCCTCATTAGACTCTCATGACAGCTCTGGTGTAAGTATGATTATTATTCTCATTTTATAGATGAGGAAACTGAAAGCCACTGAGATTAAGGAGCTTGACAAAAACCAGACCAAACCAGGCCGAAAACAAATATATGGCAGAGCCTTGATTCTAACCCAACTAGTTTTGATTCTAGTGCTAGAACTCTTAACCAAAGCAGTCTATGCCTCTTAAGACCAACATTTAGTAAATATGGGCCATGTAAATGAACAATTTCAAATCAAAGGACACTTTCATCTAGTCTATGTAGCTTTCTGGTGGGATCTGGATCAGCACCAATCTAAGCACTATTAATCATTGTGGTTGGGAATTTTTGTTGGACAAATCTCCCTTTCAGTGTCTCTGCTAATTGTTATTAATGGATGCCTGTAAAACACATGTTAATTATTACATTTTGGTTTGAGTACAGACTGTACAACAAAGAAACAACCCCTGCCTTTTGGAGTTCAGGTTTTAAAGAGAAGGCTTGATATAATCAGTTAACAGGAATGCTCTTCAAAGTGAAGTAGAGAAGCATGGGAACTTGGAGCACAGGTATTGAAACCCTGTGGTGATAAGACTGATCACCATGATACCGGAAAAATGCAACAGAATGTCTCTTGTTCCTTGTCTATAGTTTTTGGAAAGTATTGGATATGTGACACAGCCTTTTGGTATCTGTAGGGACACTTATGCCTGGCCTTGCAATTGCAGCAGTGTGTTGGTGACCTGGGAAGAGAGGGAGTGGGATGGCTGCTATGTAGAAGCCTTCCCAATACCAAGCATGGGCACCAGGTGCAGGTTTGTTTTGGGTTGAAAATACATTTGGAGAAGATTCACACTGGAACAAAGTAATTAACTTCATCGACCTTAATGAGACTGTGGTAGCTTTCAAAGAGGGGAAACTTTTAGCCACCGACTAAGGTAAATACTTTGAACTTCATATTAGGAGAAGTATTTACATTTAAATTGGATACTCACATTGATGATTCAGTTTCACATTCAACATTTATAATTATACTGAAAGGCGCCTGGGTGGCTCAGTCGTTAAACGTCTGCCTTCGGCTCAGGTCATGATCCCAGGGTCCTGGGATCGAGGCCCACATCGGGCTCCCTGCTCCGCAGGAAGCCTGCTTCTCCCTCTTCCACTCCCCCTGCTTGTGTTCCCTCTCCCGCTGTGTATCTCTCTGTCAAATAAATAAAATCTTAAAAAAAAAAACTAACTAAAAAAAATAATTATACTGAATATTTTGTATTTTTGATATTTCTCCTCTGAAGCAAAAAAAGCAAGACAAATACACATGTGTGTATGAATAGACACACATCATTGCAAGAGTGTGTAGAGCAAATAAAAATCAATAATAATAATAATAGAACCAAAATATGACTGTGGTTGAATTTCAGTGTTACAAGTTTGTAGAGTGTCTTATTTCATTCAATCAAAAGGAATTCTTTGTATATTCAATAAAGACTGACAGTAGGAAGATGACATTGCCAAGAGTTGTGCATTTAAAAGAAAGATGAAAGTTTGAAGTGAGAGAATTGAAAAAGAATACTGGATCCAGACAATGACTGTTTTGATTAAATTCTAAATATTTCACCTTCAAATATTTCACTTCACAACAGTAACAGATAATGTCCCAAATCAGTGCTTTCCTTGTTACCTTGCCTAATGCCAAAAGATATTTTTGTGCCTTTTCCAGAGACCATTATAAACCAATTAAGATCCACAAATTCATGAATACGACCAAAATTCATGAGTATAACCTCAAGCTTGAATGTGCTGGAGTGAAATTTTTCTCTCTTTAAATAATGGGTACACTAATTTGAAAATTTTCTGATGAAAGAAAATAGTTCTCATTATTCCACTTATTCTGAATGTCAATTTTTACTCTGGTGTGACCTTTCAGAATTTGTCCTTATGCATAGCTGTTTCTATAGTTGCAATCCAAGTATATATATTTTATGTTTTGCCTCTCTTTATTTAGTGTTAACATGATAAACTGTTACTTGTGTTTCTACATAGAACAATAGTTAATTGCTACCCGATATTATTTAGAGATTTATATGTTTCTAAACATTTTTCTATTTTGACATTATTTGTCGATATCTTACTTAGGTCTGTGTCTTTTTATTCTCAGGGAATTACAACAAAAAGGGAAATGACTTTATCAGAAGATACTTTTAGGACTTATACCTAAAATGCGTATAACTATAGTACATTTCACAAAAGTGGTAACCACTTATAATCTTACCAAATGTATACATATTCCAGGTTGTGTTACACTTTGAGTGATAATCTTAAAAAAAATCCTTTTCTTTCTTACAAGGTACTTTAAATTGGTTCAAGTTTATCTCTTTCACTATAACGAAATATGAACATTTGCTTATGGTCTAATTTCTTTGTTTTTCTTCTCTTAATGAATTTCCTTTTTATGTAGTGATTGGTACCTTTTTGGTGCAAATTTGAATGATCTCTTCAGATAGTATAGATTTTAATCTATTTTAATTGATGACATAAATGTTGCCAAATCTGGCTTTATTTATTTATTTTTTTTAGATTTTAATATTCATTTGATTTTTTTTGTTTTTGTTTTTATTGAAGTATAGTTAACACACAGCATATGTTAGTTTTGGATGTACATAGTGATTTAACCACTCTATATGTTATTCTGTGCTCACTGCAAGTATAATTAATTTTCATTTGATTTCTATATATTCATATCTGTCAGTATTTCCCCTTGTGATTTCTTCTGTTTCTTTGAAAAGGAGAATATTATTCTTCTGTATATCACATTTATATTCTAATTTGGATTCAGTTAAAATAATTATAATGGTCATATTGAACCATTTAAGCCTATTGGAGTTTACTTTACTATATACTATAAAATATGAATTAAAGTTAAATATTTTTTAAAATAATCCTATTTTATGTATCTTGTCTTCAGATACTAGCTTGTATGTAGATTATTAATTCTTTTCCAGTTATTATATATTCATTTATATACCAGCAGTTCTGTCTTCTTAGTTATTGATGCTTGTGATGTCCTTTATTTTATTATCAATTTTCATTAATATAATTGCCCATGTGCTGTTCAAAATAAATTTAAGAATATTGTTGCTAAGTATTCTAAAACACATAAACAAAAAAACTTTTTTGAGATTGTTTTAATGTATTTAATCCATAAATTGTCAGAATGCATATATTTAAACATTTAGCTTTCTTTTATATAACAATGGTCTTTTTTCATAAAAAAAATCTTTTATATTCTTCAATAAGGAGTACTATTTAATTCAATGTCTTTTTTTTTTTAAGATTTTATTTATTTATTTGACAGAGAGAGACACAGTGAGAGGGGGAACACAAGCAGGGGGAGTGGGAGAGGGAGAAGCAGGCTACCTGCTGAGCAGGGAGCCCGATGCGGGCCTCGATCCCAGGACCCTGGGATCATGACCCAAGCCGAAGGCAGATGCCTAACGACTGAGCCACCCAGGCACCCCTCAATGTCTTGATAAACCTGGAACACTTATAATGTTGCTGGGATTGTAAATGAATAGTTCCTCATTTAACCTTCCTAAGTCTGGCTTGTATATGTCTCTTCTAGCCAGTTGGAGGCACCATTATACAAATTGTATAATTTGGTTCCGTCCATGCACAAGTTAAACGCTCTGGTATTTGCATTTGAAATTGGCATTGTACAAAATAAGCGTGGATGGTAAAATCCATGCTAATAGTTTAAACCAGACTTCAGAGAATTGCGGGGAGGAGATGAAGATCCTTCAGGCATGCCGCCAGGAGGGAGCACCCCCAGGCACCAGGATACCTGTGAGCCAAGTGCAGACTCATGCTGGCCCTTGAGGTCCTGCCTTGGGCTGCAAGCTGAGCTCAGCATCTGGCCAGATGGGCTGTGGGATTGCTCTTCCCACCAGATGTGGGACAAACACTGTGCTTCAGCCTGGGGCGGGGTCTGGTCACCTGAGCCAAACAGCTCTTCTCATGGCCCCAATCTTTGGCAGACAGGTGGCCCCCAGGGATCTTTAAACCTTGGCACTGAGACATGCTTGGTACCTGGGTTGGGAGTGTATAGAAGGTTTGCCCCTGCTGAGACATGGCTTTCAGTGGCCAGGGCTCCCAACCCTCCCCATCCTCACATCCAGGTCCCTGCTGGGGTGGATGGTGGACAGTGACAGCTGTAGAAGCAGGACCAGGGTAGGGCCTGCAGGGGTGGGAGGTGGCCGTGAACCTGTCCTCAGAAGTAGTGGCAAGCAGGACCACACATGAGCCAAGGCTCCAAGCGCAGACTGCATGTTCCATTGTCCCACTGAGCTTCACTTACAAAACACAAATTCAGAGATAAAATTATTTTAAGACAGTTGAATGCAAAGCATTCTCAACGGAGCAGGGGCCTCTGAGAGCAGGGCCATGTACAACTGCACTGGTCTTAAGTCCATGCAGTCAGCCCTTTAATTTGAAAGACACACCCAGACATTTCTGATTCTGCTATGTCTTTCTCTCTTTTTTTTTTTTAATTTTTTTAAAGATTTCATTTATTTATTTGTCAGAGAGAGCGAGCGAGCGCACAAGCAGGGGGAGTAGCAGGCAGAGACAGAGGGAGAAGCAGGCTCCCTGCTGAGCAGGGAGCCCGATTCGGGGCTCAATGTGGGGCTCAATCCCAGGACCCCAGGATCATGACCTGAGCTGAAGGCAGACACTTAACCGACTGAGCCACCCAGGTGCCCCTCTGCTATGTCTCTTTAAATGTATTTGCTTGCTTGTGCTTTTTCCTGCCAATTTGAACTATTTGTTAAATGAATGAATGCAACTATTTAGGGGAAACCATATAAGTTAATATCACATATATACAGACACATAAATGCATCTATCATATTTTTATCAATGTCTCTGATTTCCATATTTTTGCCAATAAAGTACTGCTTCATAAACATGATTTTGGATCTCTGAATTATATTTTCCCTGAAAACATGATCAAAGGACTGCATACATTTGTTTAGTTGTGGAAACAATCACAGCTGAAGTTAAGTCTCTTCTCTTAACATGTGGAAATTTTCACAATATTAGTGATTCATTTCTAAGGACTAGTAAATGTATTGTTTCCTTCAACAACATTTTACTCCTTTTATAATTTTTCTTTATCCCTTACTGATGTCTAGATTTATTTGAAAGACCATTAATGCTAAAGAATTGTCTAAGAGAACAATTAAAACTTTGAAATGAATTCTAATTTTATCTTAAAATTAAAAACACATTTCCTTATAAGAATATCATTTTTAAAATTTTAAAATGTTATTGTACATAGTATTCATTTTCTTCTTGTTTGCTTTCAGAGTACCATGATCACACTGGAAAGCTTGTTAAATAAATTTTATTATTATATTAATTAAATTTTATTAAATAGCATGACAAAATATTATATGTTTTCTTATTTGAGTATACCTTATCAATGCATGGATATATTTTGGGGTTAAAATGCCATTTTTTTAAATTTAGGATTTCAGGTAAAACTAAGAGTTTGAACTTTGTTGGCCATTAAAAT